CACCAGTCAAGCTTTTGATATATAGCCCAGACTATCCTCAAAGTTGTGGTGATCTTTCTGTCTTGACATCCCAAGCTCTGGGATCATGAGCCTGAACAACCCTGCCCAGGTGGTTTTGTTAATACTTTATATTTATGCTGTTTGTGGTATGCAGTTTCACAGTTGATTTATTTGTGTTTCATCCCCCTATGCACAGTATATGCACTTCCAAGCACGGTCCCGTGTTTTATTCTGGGTAGTGGATTCAGGGCCTCATTTATAGCAGATGTACAATAAAGACATTCCAATTGACAGTGATCGATCTGCTTGAAAAATATCAATAACATGCCATTTCTGAGCACAAAGGTAAGCAGCCTAGGAAGGTTGCTGAAGACTTAATATCCATAAGAGCTGGCACTGACACTAATGTTCTAAAGGTCGCATAGAAGCACATTAGAAGGAGATTGCTTACTGAAAGCAACAGTCCCACTGGCAACAACAAGAAAGAGACGTAGTGACTTAGGCAGAGAGAATAGGCTTCTGCCATGCCTAGGATAAGTGTTGACTTCAAGGTTGAAGTTTGGGAATTGTCTGTCCTCTGGGGATAATTTGTTGACATCTGTAATTATAATTACATCTATCCCTATAAATAGCCAACTTATTCCACACCCATCAGCCTTCTTTTGTCTAATGATTCACCAGATGCAGCCTGGGGTTTCTCCCATCTCTGCTTTGCAGACTTTCATGATAACCCAACAGCTGTCCACTCAAGAGACAAGAGATAAGTCATCAGCCTCGGTATGCAGATGTCGCCTGGACACAGCTTCCTAACAGGCTAGTGAGGGTGGAATTTGGGTTATGTGATGAACAGGTGGGGACTAACCACCACCATTCTGATCTAACCCAAATGACACTTACAATGTTCCAAGAGAACAACTCAGACTTTAGTCTTTTCTCAGCACAATTTAAGATTATTCTCTATCTTGTATTGAAAACGAGTCTCTGGTAACTGAGACAATAGACCAAAGGAAATGATCGCAACACCCATAATTTCTGTGCTGAGAATGTTGAGTTTATTAGAAAACAGACAGAATGACGTAAGTATTAGATCACAGTTCAAAGGGGGTGCAGTGTTCCTTATCAGAAGAGGGTCCCAAAAGGCATCTTCCACGAATGGGTTGAATCAACTTCAAGAACATACTTGTCAGGGAAAAGCAATTTTTAAAAAATGACGTTCTGAGTGGCGGCAGCATGAACCTGGCCATCTCCTGGGGTCTTTAGTGTTAAGGTTAATTGGGCTCAGCAGCAGGTGTTGCAGGGGGAGGTCCTGCAGGTGGTGCGGCAGGGGGCAGGCTGGCAGCAGGGGGGCCTGCAGCAGGGAGCCTGCACAGAGATGGGCTGGCAGCAGGTGGAGGCCCAGCAGCAGGGTCTGCAGACCACAGCTGTGCAGGAGGTGGGGCAGCAGGTGATGGGGCGGCAGCAGCCCTGCTGCAGGCTGCAGGGGTCACAGCAGATGGGGCGGCGGCAGGGCTCACAGATGGGCCTGGTGAAGTGGGGCACGCAGGTCACAGGGCGGCACACTGTGGTCTGGCAGGACACTGGGCGGCAGCAGCAGGGGTCGCGGCAGCAGCAGGGCTGGCAGCAGCCTCCACAGCTCTGGGAGGAGAAGGAGCCACAGCAGGACATGGTGGGGTGTCTGGGCTGGAGTAGGGTTGAGGAGTGGAGAGCAGATGGGTGTTCTCAGGTGTGATGTGTCTTCTGGGTCGGGTCCCTTTATATACCTGGCCAGTGCTGAGGATCCTAAAAACATGAGGACATTTCCTTGTTTTGGTTTATATCTTCTGTAATGTCATTGGTGGGTTAGTAAGTTCTCTTGACATGTTTTAGGTGCTCAGGTCCTTGTAAAAGATTATTCGGGTCCCTGATTTAATGACAACTCATTATATTTTGCTATTTATGGCTCAAATATGAACTTAATAGCCCTAACTTCAAAGTCGCCAATTATCTTCATAGTTTGGTGATGCTTTTGCCGGTTGGTGTTTTGGTGGTAACAGAGCAGCCCTGCCCTTGGGGTTAGTTGCTAACTGTGGCAGTGAATTCAGCAAATCTTTGTGCAGTTCCTTTTCCACCGCTCACCACGGAACGAGGCAAGAACGCTGGACGAGGATGTCAAAATACGTTAATAAGAAAGGAAGTTTCCATCTCTTCAGGAATTCCAGGAACACATCCTAATAGGCCTGCGTCTTCAGCGGCTTTTGCCTTAGGTACACATTCCCTCATTTCCGGGTCTTCACCTTTCTATGTCAAGGGCAATTCTATTGCTTTCTGTCTTTACTTAGTACCACTGAATTCCAACTGTTTCAAACATTATGCTTAATTAAATAAATGCATCAGTTTATTCTTAATAAACTCATACGTGGTAGGGATTATTATATCTTTCAATTTCCCTGTACCAGACTAAGTAAGTTACTTTCTCAATGCCATGTATTTGTAGATGTGGCAGCCAATACTCAGACCCCAAATATGTGTCACAGTATTGCTTATGAGTCCCATGAGCTGCAGAATGAATGATGAGGCCCGCACGACCAGCCAATTATCGAATATTTGCTTTGTTTAGGAATTTTTTTAATGGTGTATTTACTTTTACAATTGTTATATGTGACATTTTAGAGCCGTCTGCATGCATGCTGTCTCTTACCAAATATCTCCAAGAACTGAAAGAACTGAGTCCCACATAATTTAGGAATTCTAAAAATTCCCCCAAATATGCCTCCAAAGAAATTGAGCACAATTAAGTAGTCATGGGACACTCTGAACAAAGGCATCCCAAATGCGAGGAAGTCGAAGAACCTGGACCCATCAAGGGAGGCTTCCATTTCCCAGTGTAAGAGTGCTAGATAGGTCCAAGACACATGGGCTTCGCTCCTATCTTGTCTGTATCTAGTATTGCAAATACCTCCCTGTGTATGAGGCTTCATGAAGTTCATTCCCACCAACAGAAACACCTGCAGTCTTCAATTGCTTCAAACTCTCCGACCTTATAGAAAAGTGATATCACAGTTGTATAGCCCTTGTGTCTGGCCTTTCTTTACAATGACTTTTGTTCTAGATCTGTGGCCTTCTCATTCATTGGGCCACTTGCTTGCCTAGCTCCATATAAGGTTACCTAGCTCTACAGTAGCCACTATAGCTGACCAGGGAGGGCATAGGGTTACCATAGAAACTAACAAGTGTGAACAAGAACCATGTGCTTGGAAGGAAACAAAATGTTATCTATATGAGAAAATGCAGTAAGATCAAAGAATGTTTCTAGAAGTCCGAGAAGGAAAATGGTGAGGGCAGCAAAGCAGAGGTAGTTAGAGATTATTTTCTTTTTAAGTGGGGAGCAAAGAGACATAGAGAGAAATTTGACTCACAGAGGGAGAGAGATACAACTCAGTGGTAGATCACTTTCTTAGTGTTCTTAAGGCTCCATCCGCAGCATTGCAGAGGCAAAGCAACGAAGTGGGATTTGTTAACCAAAGGTCTGATGAGAAACAACTGTCACTGTACGCATACTAAAGACGTATCGCTATCAGACGGTCCCTAACGGTTCCTAGCCACAGAACACCCTGTGCGCAAGGCTTCCTGTTGAGACAGCGTGTGACGAATCTGTTTAGTGTTATTGAAAATACACATCTAAAAAATGAGGTGAGTGGGGCTGGGGAGATGATGTCTTCTCTCCTCGACTCCTTGGTGCTTATTATTCTCAATACAATTCTATTCTATTCTATATGCCAAATAGTCTGCCGATGAATCAGAACCCAATCTTGAACAAAACCAGTCCAGTTCCTCCCCTTCACATTCAAAAGACTCATTTAGATTAGATTCCAGGGACTCAAACAGTTTATAGCACGATGTCTAGCCCTTGTTTTGTAATTCATTTGTGCCTGTCCTTTCTCTATAGTGACTTTTGTGGTAGAGGGCTTTATTCAAGAAAAAAAAAGCAATAAATAAAACAAAACCAAAATGAACAAACGAATGGACATAAAGCAGTAGTTAGTTTTCCTGACAGTCCTGACAGATATGTAACAGCAGCGAAGCCATCCCCCAAGGATTAATGTGAGCAGCATGTCACCCACAGTGGCGCTGTTTCAGTGACTGTATGTGGGATTCTAACCAAGGCTGTAGTTTTGGCCTTCTCATCAGCATCCACATTGGCAACCTAACTGCCATAGTGGTCATGGCTCAGGAGATGAGGGAGTGGCTGATCCAGTAAACACAAAGGAATTCAGTAGTGAGGATGTTCCTGGGTTCTAGCTAATATGATCACTGCATAGCTTCCTATGACGGGAAGCAAATGGGGCTGCAGCTTGGGCTTTCTTCCTTTTCTTGTGTGTATATGCGAAAATATTAATGGACCACTCATGAGTCAAATTCACAAAGCTCTGCCTCAGTACTTCTGTCCCATCACCACAAAAGTCTCTGTCTTTAAATATGAAAGCCCATCAGCCAAATTATCTGAAACATTTGAGTTCTTTTTACAATCACAGATGATGCGCCACAGAAGCTCTGGCGGGGAGAGTTCAAAGTGCATCCTTTAGAAACATTGGCCCTAGATTCTTCTCACTCTGAACACTGCAATTTATTCTGCAAATGAGGTAGTGAATATCAAGAAAGAATACAAAAGGCATATGTGCTTCACCAGGAATAAAATTTTATTTTTTATCATGCATAATCAGGCTAAAACTATCATGCTGAAAATATATTCATTCTGAACCCTGAAATAAAAAATTACAGGAACTCAATGGGATCAAGCTTTGTCAAAGAACTTCATCTTTGTTTAGAGATGTTTTTGAAGCTAAGAATTAAGCTGATGAAAGGAAGCTAGGATAGGTGAGGCATGCAGATGTCCAGCTGCATGTATGTGGGAAATTTGATAGTTGTGGAAGAACAAGTGGGTTGCAAAGGTGGAGCCTCTTGTCTGCTCCGGCAGGAGTGGGGAGAGTTCTGTTCATCTGCAAAGTTGTGTATTCGATGGCTCAGCAGCAGGTGTTGCAGGGGGAGGTCCTGCAGGTGGTGCGGCAGGGGGCAGGCTGGCAGCAGGGGGGCCTGCAGCAGGGAGCCTGCACAGAGATGGGCTGGCAGCAGGTGGAGGCCCAGCAGCAGGGTCTGCAGACCACAGCTGTGCAGGAGGTGGGGCAGCAGGTGATGGGGCGGCAGCAGCCCTGCTGCAGGCTGCAGGGGTCACAGCAGATGGGGCGGCGGCAGGGCTCACAGATGGGCCTGGTGAAGTGGGGCACGCAGGTCACAGGGCGGCACACTGTGGTCTGGCAGGACACTGGGCGGCAGCAGCAGGGGTCGCGGCAGCAGCAGGGCTGGCAGCAGCCTCCACAGCTCTGGGAGGAGAAGGAGCCACAGCAGGACATGGTGGGTGTCTGGGCTGGAGTAGGGTTGAGGAGTGGAGAGCAGATGGGTGTTCTCAGGTGTGATGTGTCTTCTGGGTCGGGTCCCTTTATATACCTGGCCAGTGCTGAGGATCCTAAGGACACAGGCTATTTCCTGAAGTTGTGGTTACCCAATGAAAAGAGAAGCCTAGATTCAGTTGCCAGGCAACAATTCCAGTATCTGTAAGGATGCTTTTCTTTCCACCCTTCTACTCTTTCCCTTGGAATGAATACCTGATAGTTTGTATCACAGAGCAATTACTCACCTGGCAGTCAATCCTCCCAGGCGAGGTCACGTGACAACTGAAAGTCTGAAGGGCACACTCTGATGTCACTTTCCCCATGTTCCCAGTCTGATGAGGTGTAAGGCTACGATGCACATGAGTCACAAGCCTGGTGTCTGGTTGGCATTCCTGAAGAGCCAAGATGGCCCATAAAAGTAGCTGTGTGTCTCTTCTGTTATGGAAAATATGGCCCAAGGCATCTGAAAAATAGCCCATTGCCTTGCTTGTGGAGGGATAATCACCAAAGCATCAGCGTGGCTTTTTAAGAAAGGAACCTGAATTGTCCTATAACCCACAACCTCTCATGAGACACTAAGGGAACATGGTGATTAGGGGGCGGAGAGGGAAAACTAAGGCCCGAAATTTCTTATCACATTTTGTAGTCACAATTTGTAGGGAAACAAGATAAAACTAAAAGCAATGAAAGATGAAGAACCTTTTAAAGGTCAATAAGATTAAACCAAGTGATCTTATTCATGCCTGTCTTAAATCTATGATTGCTATATTTCTTGCTTTCTAAGGATGACAAAGACACTGCTTGTTAAATTCTTTAAAATCTGCTGTAGCGCTGGTGAGATGGCTCCCTGGGCAAACACTCCTGCCGCCAAGCCTGAAGGCCCGAGTTCAATCCCCCCCAGGGCCCACAAAGTGGAAAGAGAAAACAGACTCCTACAAGGTGTCCTCTGACCTCCACATATACATCAGAACACCCCTGCACCCATAGACATGCATGTGTGTGCACTCACACACAAAATAAAAAAAATAAATAAAATCTATTAAAAGATGTGTGAAGGAATCAATCATCTTTCTGTAGTCAGTACTGTGGCTTGTTGGCTGAGAATTTTGACTGCTTATAAAATATGAGATGGGATTTTTCCACAATAGGAGACTCAATGAGCTGGTGACTGGGTAAAGAGCTCTGTGCTTCATCACCACCACGAGGGGAAATAGAAGATAAAGGAAGGGTAGGGATGCGGGTGAACACCAGCAGCGGACAACACTGGACAAGGATTGCTGAGGACTTTGGGATCGGATTTGCCTCGAATATGTGTCATTGTTAGCTTTGAATGTCAACTAGTCACGCTGTAGAGTCAACTGGGAAGGGAGTGGCAATGGCGAGTTGTCTAGACTAGGTCAGCCTGTGGCGGCGCCTCTGAGCTGTTTTCTCTGTTGGGTTGACTGAGATGGGAAGAGTGACCTGGAAGGTGGATAGAACCATTTTACGGACTGGACCCTGGAGTGAATGAACAGTACAGAATGTGCCGAGCCCCACCGTGCATGCGCTAACTCGTTGCTCTCTGCTCTTGACTACAGATGCAATATGACCAGCTGCTTCACCTTCCTGTCGCCTTGACTTCCCCACAACAATGTGCTGTGACCTGGAATTGTGCGCCAGAATAAGCCCTTCCCTCCTCAAATTGCCATAGTCAGGAATATTGTCACAGCAAGAAGTAGCCAATAGAAGATCCCAAATTTCGGGTAGGAGATACAAAGTCACAACACGGTGCTGTATATTCATCATGTTGTTTCTTGCAGAAGAGGGGTCTTCTGTCTGATTGACAGCCCATGCTGATGTCGGTGCTTTTGTAAATAGTCCTGCTCCACTTATCTAGATACCATTTCCTGCAGTGTTACCAGAATGCCGCCACCCATCGGATCCCGGATCCCATCTTGCTTTCCTTTGCTGCTCTGCTGGGTGGGAGTTCTTGCTGACACACATTCAGAGACAGGCTTGCTGAAAGGGGAGTTTCCTTGACTTCATGACATGAACTTTTAAAGTCATCTTATTCCCATTCCAAGCATTCTGGAAGCATAATGACCAGTGGGAGCATGTGCATTTTAAGCATAATGATAATTAATGTGAGATTTTTGTGGTCGGACTGGAAGAGAACACAGTGACGGTGACTGTTGGTGCAGTAGGCCACGTCCTCATCCTCATAGTTTTATGATTATGTTCTGTTAGGAACTAGTTTGAGGGTTTCTAGATGTCAGGAGATGTCTAACATTCTGAAAAAAATAAATGGTTTTCATAGGGAATTCTTTCTTGGTAGCAATCTTAAAAACACACTCATAGGAGCCAGGGATGAGGATGAGGCAGGTTGTGGGAAAAGAGAAGTTTTATCTCAGGGCAGACGACATCTCCTTTGCCCCAGTGTCCTCATCTGTGAAATGGAGTCTTCAGTATCTGGAGTTTTTCATGGACTGTTTTATTAAAACATCCACACAAACACAGAAGACAGAGAGACACATATGAATAACTAAAAGAGAAAAATCATCAAATTGGAAAATACAGAAAAGCAATGGTCAGAGGACAGGTGGAAATTTTGAATTTATTTCTGTAACATATATATATCTCACATTGGTTATATGTAAAAATATATCATATCTCCATCTAATCTCTCTTAAGTTTCTTGCCTAAAGTCAGGAAGTTTAAACCAACATCTTGGAATCTCTCCCTGCTTTTAGGTTTTAAAGCCCCTTGATGAGTAAGCATGAGAGAAAGACTTTCAGATACACATATTACCCACTGCTCCTTTCTCTTGTTACTAAACTCTCCTCACAAGTCCTAAAGTCTAGAGCTCATTTCTATTGGTTTTGAAACTGAGACTTCTGAGAAATAATAGATTCTTAGCCTGAACTAGCTATTCCCTATGATCAGATCGGCGACTATCGCAATGGTCATCAGAGAGCCTTCATCTGGTAACTGATGGAAACAGATGCAGACCCAAAGCCAAACATTAGGTTGAGCTCAGGGGATCCTGCTGAAGAGAGGGAGGATGGATTTGTAGGAGCCAGAGGGGTCAAGGACATCACAACCCCCCCCCACACACACACACATAAACAACTAACCAGGCTCATAGGAACTCACAGAGTCTGGATCAACAACCAGGGAGCCTGCACGGGACCAACCAAGGTCCTCTACATATATGTGACAGCTGTATACTTTAGCCTGCTTGTGGGACTCCTAACAGTGGGAGTAGGGGCTGTCTCTAACTCTTTGACTTGCTCTTGATAACCTATTCCTCATATTAGATCGCCTTGGTCTTACCCAGCCTTAATACAAGGGGAGGTGTTTAGTCTTACCACAACTGAATATGCCATGCTTTGTTGATACTCTTGGGAGGCCTGCCACTTTCTGAACAGAAACAGAGGAGGGGGTCTATGGGGGGATCAGGAAATAGGTGGGGGGGAATAAGGGAGGGGAGGAAGGGGAATCTATGGTTGTAATGTAAAATAATTTATTGAATAAATAAATAAAACTATAATAAGTTTTAAAGATTTCTTTTCATTCTGAGACCATAGTAATCTGAGCCAAGGTATACTGGCACTAATTAGAAAATGCATTTCTCCAGTGGCTGTGAAGTATCTCAGAAAAAAATATTGAAACATGTGAGTAAAATCTTCCCCTGAATTCTCTCTGACCCCCAATGACTTGATCTGAACCACTGAGCACGTTTTCGTTTGTTTGTTGTTATTTTAAGACATACTATAACTGGTGCTAATGATGGCTTTGAGCATCCATCTATGTTGAGAATTGCTAAATTTCCCATTATCCAGTGTCCTCCCTAGGTAGGTGGCAGCTGCAGAAGCCAGAGGAAGCTAGCCAGTAAGCAGTATTCCTCCACCGTCTTTGCTTCAGTTCACGCCTGGAGCGCCCGCTACAGCTCCTCTTGCTGGTGACTGTAACCTGTGAAGTGAAACAAACCCTTTCTTTCTTCTCCAAGTTGCTTTTGGTCATGGTGTTTATCACAGCAGCTTGCAGGAAATTATGACTGAACCTAAGTTAGAGAAGCTAAGTTATGTATGATGGTTTTCTTTTGCTTTAAGTGAATAATACCTCCTTATTTTCGATTCCTGTAAAGACAATGCCTTTGCAGCCTAACTTCATTGAACAAGTGGAAGCTGAGCATCAACCAGCCTTGTACTAAAAATTGAGCCCCATCGCTACAGCTTAGGCCAATAAATGGCCTTCTCTTCCTCAAGAGCAGAGACTAGATCATCTCAATGCTTTATGGGGAGCGAGCTAGCTCAGGGTGCTCCAGGAACACCACGCTGGGGTACCTTCTGTCGCCTGATTTCACACAAGAGGCTGTGCACAGGTGCATATGTGTTCCTTGTGGTCTGAGGTTTCAGCTATGTCTGCTGGAGAGACTGAGATGATGATTGGAAATGGAAACAGAGCTAAGCACTTGACAGAAGGAGATGAACAAATATTTGAAAGAAATGACAGAACTTTGGTTTCCTTGTGCAGCCTAGACTCCTGTTCATAGGTGCACCTTAATGACATAGATCAATGAACGAGTCAGGAGTGTGGCATTTGCTATGCCAGGAAAATCATTTTATTGAAAGAGTGAGCAGCACATGACAAAGGCATTGGTGAGGATTTGAACTGCCTGAATCATACGGGCTTAAGATGAGCTTGTCCAGCCCATTCTGGAGATCTCCGAAGGGCATTTACCATCCGTGATGATAACTGCTGATACAGATATCTGCAGGTTTGGCTTAGAACAGGGATAACAATGTTCTTATTTCACATTGGATCCAAGTTGCAGGCTGTTAAATTGTTGTCACCTTTGGGGGAAAAACATATTTTCTTTCAATTTGATTAAAAGCCCAAAGAGGTGTGTAGGGGATGGCGTATCCTTGGTAAGGGTGCCAGGAGCTCAGCAGCAGGTGTTGCAGGGGGAGGTCCTGCAGGTGGTGCGGCAGGGGGCAGGCTGGCAGCAGGGGGGCCTGCAGCAGGGAGCCTGCACAGAGATGGGCTGGCAGCAGGTGGAGGCCCAGCAGCAGGGTCTGCAGACCACAGCTGTGCAGGAGGTGGGGCAGCAGGTGATGGGGCGGCAGCAGCCCTGCTGCAGGCAGCAGGGGTCACAGCAGATGGGGCGGCGGCAGGGCTCACAGATGGGCCTGGTGAAGTGGGGCACGCAGGTCACAGGGCGGCACACTGTGGTCTGGCAGGACACTGGGCGGCAGCAGCAGGGGTCGCGGCAGCAGCAGGGCTGGCAGCAGCCTCCACAGCTCTGGGAGGAGAAGGAACCACAGCAGGACATGGTGGGTGT